ACATTAGGAATATTTCTTGCATCAATTAATTCTATTGCACTTGACGTTTGGGAATATGTCCGTCTTCGTCATCATAATCTTTACGAAGAAAAGTTTGTTAAAAATCGATAAAATAAAATAATTAATATTAACAATGCAAATAAAGAGAAAAAACAAATTACAAGCAAAATAGGTAAATAAAAACTATCTATAAATTACTTTAATTACTTATGAACTAATTATTTATAAAATATAACTGACAACTGGGAGGACAAAATTACTGCTATCTCGTATAATTATTTGTACAAGATCGTAGATAAGTTGGTTGAATTTAGTCGTAGTTTGACCCGCCTCTTGGCTGACCTGATCTGTATCGCACCTGCTTGTAAAGCATATGTTATCTCATGTCTCTGTAGGAAATGTCTGACTGCAGGGGAGGATCTACTCGAAACTAATGAAGCTTAGGCTTCAGGGCCCCAGAATCGACTTTACTCCACAATTCTTAAAAATTCTGGGTCAACTGTATGAGAAGGGGTTACAAAAGGGCCCCCATAACAGTTCAAGCTTCAGGGCCCCAAAAATGTAGGTCCGCCGCTGCCTCACTGTAAGTAATGTAATTCTGTCCCAGCTAGCCCGGATGTCTTTAATGTTTTAAAAAAATCATCATAATTTTTTTTTTAAGTTTTGAGATCCATTTTGTAGCTGTTATATATATTTTTTATCTGATCCACATGTTTTATAGGTGTGGACGTCGCATATCAGCTGCATATGGGAATTTTCACATAATATATGTTTCAAACAGTATTTTTTTAGTATCCCTCTATCTCTTTCGAAGCTATTTTATATCTAACCGACGTAGCATATACATTTCTCACAATTTTATCTATTTGATCTGGTGGCAATCTTTTCATAATAAAAACTCCTGGATCCTTAATAGATTTGATATACAGGAATTTCAAGACAAACCCAAATTGTTTATTAGTCAATAGGTTATTCTTCTCCGAGCCTTGTAATACTCCTTTCTATGATGGCTTCTTCCACAATATTTTTACATAATGGCCTACAGTTTGAAGGGTCTTTTTCCTGTCACATTTATTAAATATTGGCACAATGTGTGTGCCGTCTTTTATTTAATTGCTAATTTACTATCTTGTAGAAAACCCCCCAAATTTTTACAACCTGGATAGCTCAGTTTTTCTGCGCACACTTTTAGAATTTATGTTGGTGTCTAATCTGGCCCTATTGTCTTTTTTTCAACATCTAGTGATATTTTTTCTGTTCCTTTTAAGTCATCTCAGCATCCTCTAACTTAATCAGTTTGGGTTTTAAATTTGTTACACATAAAATATCTTTTGCAAGCACACTGAAGCTTTTCCTCTTCCACTTCGGTTATTTGTTATTGTTCTCCATTCTTCATATTTTGTCTTTAGTTTATTTTTTCCAAATGTAAAAGAAAAATATGGTTCCATCTTGCTCCTGGCTATTATTTAGTTTTCTGTTACTTTCTGGTTCCCTACTTCATGGTGTATTCGTTCATTTGTGGATTCGAGTATGTGGGAGGGGGAAGCGGAAAGTGGGAAGAGGAAAGGAAGAAGGGGGAAGGGTGAAGAGGGTGGGGGGTGAAGCCACTAATAGAAGAGACTTCGAAGTATATAAAACATGAGAGCGAAGTCATAGAATCATGAAACGTTGAACTCAGAAAATTGAGAGCTCGGAGCTCCTGGAAAGTGAGACCTTGAAGTGTATAAAGCACAAGAGTTCGATCTCTTTGAATCATGAGACCTCGGAGTCTGTAAAATATGAGCGTACGAACTTTCTTCTTAGAGGATGAGGAAGGCAACTTACTGGGGAGGGGCATGGGGACGGGGTGAGACTGCGAGGAAAAGAATAAAGAGAGGACAGGAGAGATGGAGAGGCCGTCACCGAGGTACAACCGTTGACCCAAGAGTCATTGAGGTTCTTACGGCCCTACAACACGAAGAGTACTCAGATTTACCACAGGCTAATCACCTGGTAGTCGTGTACACCAAGTGGCCCTCTTACTCCAAATGTTCGTGTACACCAAGTTGTTGCATATACCGAGTGTTGGTGTATACTTGGGAACACTAGTCTTTCCCACATCAGCATCACCAGGATAATCAGCGTTATTTAATTGTCTTCGGTATTGACAGATATATTTACGCCAAAAAACCCTCCGAAGTTGGATAATTTTTCTTAGAAATATCCCGCAAAATTTGAGGCGGCCTGGTATATACCAGAGTACATCACTTTGCTATATCAGTCGGTGATACTAAAGTTTGATACCACGCAGAGATATAAACGAATAAGTCTATACGTACAGGAGAATGAGCTGATGCTAAATGGCTTGTAAATAAGTCTGCTCATATAAACCTGCAAGTGAGCCTATTTATGAAAGCTAGCTAGTGAGCCTATAAACAGCAGATTTAAAATAAATCTATATTTACAATTCTGCGATGTCTTCCTCGCGTCTCTAAAGCTTCATAAAGCTCTCAATGAGCGA